GTAATCTGCAAGAAGATTCTCCTGACAATACACAAGAATCATAAATGATCATGATTCTTTTCCAAGATACCACACAAAACAGCAAATCTCATTTGGTTTTACTTTGTTTGTTTTCTAGGTTAAGGCAAAATGGTATTTAGCAACTCTTTTTTCTCAACTTCATATTTCACTTGCTACCAACAGAAAGAGGCTGGGATAGAAAGCCTAGAGGGAGCCCAAAAAGTAGTAACTAAGGAAGGAAAGGAGCTGAGGACAACAAGTATTTTTAAACAATTGTTGCCTCTTTCTGCTGGGTACAAAAAAGGTCTGGGTTCAGCTCATCTGCTCACTTATAAGGTGAGAGGAAGTTGGTAGAATTCTGGGCTGGTATTCTCCCTTTTGTGAAAGTTTACTTTGCCTTCCATTTTATCCTCATTTTTAGAGATCTGAGATATCCTGTCAAGCTCGCTTCAGTGTAGATAAATATATACAGTTTTCAATCTGTCTTCCTAACTAGCGCATGCAAGGTATCTATTTTCATGTCCTATAAAAACTGGAGCAAGAAGCATTTTGTAAGTACCAGGGATCATTATTCTGGTCCCACAGCTATTAGACCAACTCAGGTGGTCTAGGATACCTGATAAGATGATCTCAGGGACAAAAGCTGCCATCTCCACAATGTTGCCAAATGAAGCAGTTTTATGGTGGCCCCGTTTAGGCTTGGACTAGGCTGCAAAAACACACATATACAGTATACATGCAAACAACCACAAATAGTAACACAGAAAAAGATTAACTACAAAAACAATAATTTTCGAATAGTTTTGTTAATAACACTTCATGCAGAATGGCATGCAGAACTATCTAACTTTTCATCCATGCTTAGAAAAGGCGTGATTAAGGAGCAAACAACTATCAATACGGGATGTTTCACACACTGGCTTTTTTTAGATTTTATTTATTTATTTATTTTCCCCCCAAAGCCCCAGTAGACAGTTGTATGTCATAGCTGCACATCCTTCTAGTTGCTGTATGTGGGACATGGCCTCAGCATGGCCGGAGAAGCAGTGTGTCGGTGCGCGCCTGGGATCCGAACCCGGGCCACCAGCAGCGGAGTGCCCTCACCCAACCGCTAAGCCACGGGGCCAGCCCCACACACTGGCTTTTATTAGCAGAAAAAAAATAGGACACAGACAAACAAAGCTGCAGGGTAATGAGGAAGCTAAATTTCAAACATGTTCACAGAAACAATTTATCTAAGTGACACCACTGATATGCAATGCAGGGCTAGGATGAAAGTGGGAAGGAAGAGAGGAGTTAAAAGGAAACAAGCTATCAATTTGTTTTAATTTCACAAACAGGAATATATGTTCAAGTTAGGCATTTCTTGAAGTGTGCTACAAAGTAAAATTCAGTGATTAAATGATAATTATTGAATCAAAGTATGAAATGTGTATGCTTTTATGATTATAAGTATTTATACATACTTCTAGTAAACTGAATATTTATTATAGTTTACAAAGTTTAGGCTACATTCTCACTAAACATGGATAGTGTTGAAAGGCTGGAGGATATGAACCTTTCAAGGTAAGACAATTCTCTAAAAAATCTGAATTGTGTAAAATTCAATGGATGTTCAATAGTGTCTGTTCTACATTTAGTGTAATTTAAATGTCTGTGGTTACCTTTAACCTAGTGAAATATCACTTGCATAAAGAATAAATACAAAACCGTAACTGACTAAAAAAGATATAAAACTATCAAGTTTCATAGTTACTAGCAAAGATATAAAATTATTAGAACACTATTCACTATTTAGCAAGTCTAACCTGAGTGATATGCCTGAAGTGAAAAAGGTTCCCCAAAGTGCCAGGGTATGTCTCTGCGTGCACTGTTCACCTGACACTTCACTGAGACGCTCTCAATCCCCAGAAACACTGTGACTCATAGACACCAGGAGGGCTTGACAATGGCAGGTGACCTCCATTCAACTTCATCATTTCTGAAGCTCCATCTGTGTGGCAGAGACAGCTACTCTCCTGCCAGTCTCTATTCTTCCCTTGTTTCTTAGCAACAGAATCCTGACTTTACTCGGGACAGCAATGTTCTCAGATAAAAGACTGCAGATCCTTCTTTCCCTTGGAGCCATCTGTAGCCATATGACCCTATTACTTCCGTGTGGAAGCCAATGACTTCTACGTGGAAATTGTTAGCAGGGACTTCTGGGAAAGTTCCTTGAAAGAGCTTGGGTGTGTGCCCTTTTGGTCTTCCCCTAATTCTTCCTTCCTGCTGCCTCAATTGTGGATGTGATGATTGGAACTGTAATAGTCATTTTGTGGCACAAAGTAACCTTGAAGATGGAAGCCACAGAATACAGACTATGGCAGAGAGACAGAAGGAGCACAGCTGCCTAATGATCATGGAGCCTATCTCCAGATTTGCGTATGTGTGAAAAAAAAAGCTTATGTGTTAAAGACACTGTTATTTTGGATATTCTGTTATATCCAACCGATGCTAATGCTAACTGATTCAAGTCAGTGATCATGATTAGCTGAAGACAAATATAGTATGATGGTCCTCTGGACAACTTATTTCTGAAAAGAGCTCCACACAAAATGAAAATATTCTATTCAGAAAAAAACTAAATAAATGACAAAAAAGACCTAAAAAAAAACCAAAATGAACCTGGTTAGCTAAGTTAAAAAATATATATGCTAATATCCATGGAAATACACATGTATACACATATACAGTTAAAAGACTAGAGGTAAATACACAGAAATGGTAAGTGTTTATCTCTGAGTGGGACAATTATGGAAGATTGTTTTTTTTTGTTTGTTTGTTTACACTTTCACAACAGAAATGTATTTACTTTTATAATCAGCTCCCCTCCACTCCTGGGGGAATTGGAGAGCAAACAAATTAAACCAGCATTACTAAAATGAAACCTGGTTAGAAAAGAAGGTTAGATGTTCACTCAGATAACAAAGCATATAATTGCTTTTGTGCTGACTAGTCTTTCCATAATTAATCATTTTAAGAACTGACAAAACGGAAGTGAAATGCTAGCTTTTTCAAGATTGAATAAAATTATCATGACCTTTTATTTTACAATTAAAAGAATTAACCACAACCAACTTAGCTACTTTTGCCACTGGAAGGAGGAGGAGAAGATAGTAAGGCCAAACCATACTTGGATCTGGAGTACATTTTTCTGCTAATTTCAAAACAAAACATTTACTATTATTTGAGTTCAGCACAAGATTCTAGTATAATCACTCAAAATCCTCCAAAACATTCTGGTTTTGGCAAAATTTCAATTTCTCACTTAGACTTTCAGCTCACGTTTGAGTTGCAAGACTTACATTTGATAAAATCTGTACTTAGGAAGGTACATTTTATGATCCAAATAATTCTACAAGTCATACCTTCCTTATTTGGAATTTGAAATAAATGTATAAATTATTGCTAGAAGCTTAGAAAGTATACTGTAAGCCTACTTCCTGCGTTAAAAAAATTTTAGACACAAAAAAACCTTGACGTTCCTGCTAATGAAACAACTGTAACTACTACTTTCACTACCCTTCAGATTTTCATTTCCCTTTTTACCTGCGGTCGCAGCAATCCTGGCTTCTATTTCAGACATATCAGCACTCATTCTCTTGCCCTCGGACGTTGGCGGCAAGCTCTCTACGCTGCTCCCACGAGACGCTCCCAAGCTTAATCGTCCAGATTCACTCTGTTAAAATTACAGGTCAATTTGAATTACTGAAGCTCTTTAGATTTAAAAATCCTGGAAAGCCTAGAAGGAGGAAGATATCAACTGGGATTCTTATGGATTCTGTTCTTTCTGAAAGAAAAGGCAAGTTTTCGGGGAGAGGGAGCTACAGGGGTAAGGGAGAGCAAGCTGCAGATGCTGGCTTTTGGGAAAGCTGGGAGTTAAATGCCCTAATTATTAGTTAACCTAAATGACTCAGGTAAGATAAATAAAATCACTCCTTAAAATATTTTTAAACTAAAAATGGCAAAAATAAAATAAACATGAACAACATGAAATGATAGATTTAGGACAACTCCTTTAACTGGGTAGTACAGCCAAGAAATAACCATTTAAAATTTTTAACCATCAACCATTAAAGTTAGAGATCATCATAGGGAGGGAGTTGCACAGTTGGCAAAGGCAGTAATCATCAGAAAGGAAAACAATTTGGTAATAAATGGTACAAGAATCTCATTATATGTCTCTACTCTTAAGCTTATCTGTCTGCTTCAGGAATAAGATTCAGGATTTGTATAATGGAAGATGGCAAATAATTTCAGTTAGTATAATGTTATGACTACTGATAACTTTACCATATGATTTTACTTTTAATAATAAAACAAACCTGTTGCTTTGCCTGATTTTTCAACAATTTTGATTCTAAGCGTTTAATAGTATCATTTGTGGCAGGAACCTGCTCCATATTAGTGTCACTTTTATTACTGGTATTTGTAGAAGCGATGTCCATGAATGAGCCTAGGAAAGCAGAAACAATTATGAATATAGGTTGGGAATAATGCAAATGCTTCATTCAATAACATGTAACAAATTCTTTTCTAAACTAGTAATATATGAACAAAAATAAAATAAGACTTTTCGAGCTAATGAAGATACCCAAACAAACCCATTTTAAATGAAATTTAAGGATAGCACAAAAAAGGAACCAAAATGCCTAAACAGTCTTCAATAGTCAAGGATGACTTTAAGGTTCTTAGCCTGAGCTAGTAGAATGAAGTGGCTTATATTAGTCAAGATGGGGAGGGGGGCCGGCCCTGTGGCTTAGTGGTTAAGTGCGTGCGCTCCGCTACTGGCGGCCTGGGTCCTGATCCCGGGCGTGCACCGATGCACCGCTTCTCTGGCCATGCTGAGGCCGTGTCCCACATACAGCAGGTAGAAGCATGTGCAACTATGACATACAACTATCTGCTGGGGCTTTGGGGAAAAAAAAAAGGAGGAGGATTGGCAATAGATGTTAGCTCAGAGCCGGTCTTCCTAAGTCAAAAGAGGAGGATTAGCATGGATGTTAGCTCAGGGCTGATCTTCCTCACCAAAAAAAAAAAAAAAAAATTTAAGATGGGGAAGACCATGGGAGGAGTGAGTATGAAGGAAGAATCAGGAGCTCAGTTTGGAAATGGTAAGTTTGAGTTCCTATTAGATATCAAGCAAGTAGTTGGACATATGAATGTGAAATTCAGGTCCGGGATGGAGCAAAATGTCAGCAAACAAATGGTATATAAAGCCATGATAATGGATGAGATTATTCAGGAAATGAGTATAGACAGATAAGCAAAGAGGCCAAATGACTGAGCCCTGGGCACTCTGACATTTTTAGGTTGAGAAGACGAGGAATAACCAACATAGGAAACCATCAAAATAAGTGGCCAGAGATATAAGATGAAACCCAGGCTAGTAAGGTATCCTGGAGACCAACTGAAGAAAGTGCTGTAAAGAGGAGACAGTAATGAACAGTGTCAAATGCTACTGAGAGTCAAAAACGATGAGAACTGAAAATCATTCATTTAGAGTTAGTAATATGGAGATAACTGATGACCCTGACAAGAACAATTTTGGAGTAGTGGTATAATAAAAGCCTGAATAAAGTGGGCACAAGAGAGAATGGGAAGAGAGAAGATGGAGAATGCAAATACAGACTATATATGCTCTGAGAATGATCCCAGTGGAACAGGAGACAGAGGGAAGGACTGCTGGGAAGAGCAGATGGGATAAATGCACAAGTAGACAAGTTTGCCTTTGGCTAGCAGCATGGAGAGTTCAGCCACAGCAACAGAAGAGAAGGTAGAGTAGATGGGCACAGATACAGGTAGGTGGGCAGATGCAGTGGGGGAACTTGTGGAAGCTATCTTCTGATTACTCCAATTTTCTCAGAAAAATAGTAAACAAGGTCAGAGGAGGTGTTTGAAATCTGAGGAGAGGAGCTAAAGTATAAAATAAAGTCATCTAGGAGAGAGGAGATAGATTAAAATACAGTGCAACTGTCCAGCAGCACTAAAGAGGCATTTGAGGATGGTAAACGCGTCATCTCCAGTCACATCTAGCTGCGCTGATACAGGCAAGGAGTAAGCTGAGTGTCAGATTTAATCAGGCTTGTGGTTGCAACCTTGAGACAAGGGCTAGAAAGCTGAGGATTATTCCCAAAGGAATTATAATGACTGCCTGGAATTAAGTGGAGGGAGGAAGGAAGGAAGGATCTAAGAGGACTGAGGGTCAGTGAAAAGGTGGAAAGAATCAAAGGACTGAAGGTCACAGTATGGGCATGGGCAGAGGGGTAGTGGTAGAAACAAATAATGGCATTTTAGAGTATTCATTTTAGAATTCAGAGCAACTCAAAAGATTTTCAGTAAAATTGGAATTTGGGAATAATTAGCCAAATAGTAAACCAGCTTAAAATAAATATAATTATTTTTGAGGTGGAGAAAATAGACCAGTACAAATATTTATCAGTAAAAATAAAATTTTAAGTATAGGATAAATATATGGATAAATACACGTGTACATATACACATATGCTTTTTAGTTTTAATTAAATAAATAATGAAATGCTTAAAATGCCATATATTTGGAGAAGTACAATTTTCTAAGTTACAGTATTATATTTACTATCTTTGATGATCATAAACTACAAACCTCACTATGACTTCATATTTAGAAAACCGAGGAACTTTGAATTAAAACACAGCTTCTTACTTAAGAGTCTCTGTAGACTCCTACAAGGACCAAAACATAGGGTATTCAGGACAAAGAAATATGTTGTTATATATATTTACAATAATTTCTAATACTACTTGATCTAGCAGTATCTGTGTAAAAACTGTTTTTCAAATAAAGAATGACATTCACAGCAATACAATATCCAATCTTTTTACATATAACTATGCAAGAATTCTAAGACTTGGAAGCAGGTCTTCAGTAACTCTTTAATCTAGGCACCTTCACGAAGAATATTGTACCTGGAAACTCAAATTGCAGTCAATCATATGAAATGAAGAAATTAAAATGCAAATGGGGACATCATTCATTGCTTCTTGATTATAATTTCACAGGAATAGAGACACAAAAAAATTAGGTTATTACTTTTCCAATCTATCCATTTACCTGTACTGGTGGCAGAGTTGCTCTGTCCTTCATCTGAATATTGACAAGGATATTGTAACGGCTCATCTGCTCCTGGAAAGTACTATATATAAAAAAGTAAATCAGAGTTTAAAATTTCTTTAATATAAATTAAATCCTGTAAAAATTAACTTGAAGAGTACATCTGAATTACTTCCTTGTTGTAGGATTTCAATGTAGCAAAGATCCTGCTTTATTTTCCCTAAGGCATATACTGAATTTGTAGATACTTAAGTTTTTTTTTTTTAAGATTTTATTTATTCAGTTTTTTCCCCCCAAAGCCCCAGTAGATAGTTGTATGTCATAGGTTCACATCCTTCTAGTTGCTGTACGTGGGACTCGGCCTCGCGTTGGACGGAGAAGTG